CTAGAGAATTTTGCTGTAAGGAGGATATTTTGGTTCCTTACATCATTATCTACCAAATCGAAACTTTATAAATATCTTTCTTCGGTCTGTTTATCATTTGTTTTGAATTTTCTGAAATTACTTTTGCATTGGTAAGGTTATTCTCTTCTTTAGATTTTGCCTCCACCTTCATCTAAGAGAGTAATAAATTGCTACTACCTCAGGGGCTACCACAAGAACTAAGTAAGAGGTACTAGACCCAGTGGTTAGCACATAACAAGCATTTAACATTAACTCAAATTATCATAATAATAGAAAAATATTTCTGCCTTAGACAAATTATTCACAAAAGAGGTACTTAAATAATTTTGAAGTACATCTTTTTCTCCTAAAAAAACGTATTTTTGAATCATCTCCTCTACTTCAAAACAAAACCATTGTAACTTACTCTAAGTAATAGACATTATCAGAATTCATGACAGTTTTAGCTATGTTGTTTATGTTAAGTATATGCATGTATGACATGACAGTATATGAAATTTGGTTAAATGTGACTGAACAAAAAGTAAATATAGTTGATATTTATAGATATTTTATCATAATGACATTACATAATAGATACTTTTCTCATTTATTTGTAGAGGCTTTTAGAACCTAACCCTCAGTTAATATAAGCATTTTCCTTACTCTCTTTCCAAGCATAATAATATTCTAGAATCATTTCAATCACATTCATTATTCAAAATCCTAAAAAAAAGAAAATTAAGAAAGTGCCAATAAGTGTCTCTCCATAGTATTTCTTTGTGACTTGTACCTTTGGATGAAGTGCATTTCACCAGGTGGTTTTTCTTTCAGAGTAAAAAGCCAAGTCCTTATGTGTAGGCCTACAAAGCCTACATGATCTGAGCACGCCTGCCCAAATTCCTCTTAGGCCTTCTGCTATTATTTGTCCCCACTTACCGACAGCAGCCCCACTGGCCTCCCAGCTGCACTTTACCCTAGAAGCTCTGTATTGTTCTCCCTCTGTCTGCAGCCTCCCTCCCTGATAAATCTACAAGCCTGACCTCTTCACTTCCTTAAGTATTGGCTCTCACTCACCTTCTCAATGCATCTATCTACCTATTCACTATAGTTACTGTAGTGAAATTATTGTTCCTACTCATCTCCCTTTCTCTGTCCTCTTCTTTTTCCCTCCCTGAAACACCATTTGTTACATTGACTTCATTATAAATAAACTAAAGGCCATGAACACACTATTAGGTCTGAAAGGCAGAATTGAGTTCTGTTTGTCAGATAGGCACATCTTCCACCAAAAGTGCCTTTGCCCTTATAATTATCTAGTTGTCAATTACTTTGCCTCACTTTTAAAACAAAGCACACTGACATAGAAGAAAATGTGTATTTTGAGGAAATGACATTGTAATAATGTATTTTGGATTTAGAGAGCCCCATTCTTCCAAAAAGCTAATTTTGGGTCAAAGCATATAAACTGATTCATCTTGTCTTCATCTCTGGTTGGTCTGAATAACCCAGTTTATTAATGCAGACCAGAGCAGGAAAGGTTGAAATGGCTTACACGTAATCACACAGATAGTTGGTAGAGCTGCTAAGAAAAGCACCCAGATGTTCTCTTTGTTCAATACATCATCCTATGTGGAGCTGTATTGGAGGTTATCTCTCATTATTATAAGTTGTCACCTCATCTCAGTTCATACCCAATGGCAAAGGAAATGAAGAGATAAATTTAAAACTTAACTGGACTTTTTATAACTTTTTTTGCCTTTCAATCTGAAGATGAAAAATATTATTTTTAGAGGGTGAGAAAGTGAACAAATTAGTTTTAGACCTTTATCTACCGAAACAATATCATATGCCTCTTGTCTTAGAGAGAGAGCATATTTTAAAATGACTGTAATTTAATACTGTGACTATGAAAAGAATATTAATTTTTACAGCAAGTGAAAATAATGCAGTAGTATGTAGAAAGGGCCGGGTAGGATAGAAAGCTGTCTAATTTTGGTCTACTGGGACTGGTATAGATTTTCCATCCAAATCAGCAGAAATGTAGCTTTAAGAGCATAGTAGCAGCTTTCCTTTTTGCTTGGAGCTTTAAAGTCAAAGGTAGCTGGACGAGTTTAACATGCAGGCCAGCCTGTGACTAATCCAGCAAGTTGTTAATTCTGCTCTTCCTGATGCTGCTCCCCTGTTTCTAAGTGGTCATTAGTTCTTTGGGTATATGTTCTTCTCTCAGCTTTCAAATAGTTATGAATCTTCTGAAAACTAAGCAACCCTAACATTCAAAGACATCAGCAGATAAGTTGCACTGATGTGAGGGCTGGGAAAGTCAAGAAGTGTAGACTTCCTCCTCTTATCATTAGTTGATTTAGCTTATTTTGTTTCCTTGCTTTTCCCTCTTTAATGGCAGTTGTTCAAACTTCAAAAATAATTTAATTTCTTCTTTTTGAACCCAGTGACATTCTTTTTTTTTTTTTTTTTTTTTTTTTGCGGTACACGGGCCTCTCACTATTGTGACCTCTCCCGTTGCGGAGCACAGGCTCCAGACGCGCAGGCTCAGCGGCCATGGCTCACGGGCCTAGCTGCTCCGCGGCATGTGGGATCTTCCCGGACCGGGGCACGAACCCGTGTCCCCTGCATCAGCAGGCGGACTCTCAACCACTGCGCCACCAGGAAAGCCCCCAGTGACACTTTTTAAGCTACATCAGAGTTGTGATTTTTTTTTCATGATACAGAAAGAGAATCTAAAGATAAGTATAACAAAGAACATATTGTTAGGGTTTGAAATGTGGTTGCTCATTATAGCCAAAATAATTTCAAATAGCTAAAAGCACTGAAATATATTTACGTAATGAGTTCATATGCCTGAAAACTAAAATTAGATGTTTGGAAGACAGTAAGGAGATAAGTTTCTTTTCCTTCCTTAGCCAGAACATTGCAAATTAAGGAAAACTGTTTACTAGATCATTTTATCCTTGCTAATGGAACTTATTTTTCTCCCAATATGGTTTCTCCATCAATTATTCAGAGATTAAAATATATTATATTGTAATATTCAATCTCATGTATCTTCTAATGATCAGTAATTATCAGACGAAAGATGAGATCTCCTTCTACCTTCAACAGCCCCTATCCCCACCTGCCTGCCCCCCATATAGAATTGCCTGACTTAGATAATCACCCTTTAAAGTCATCTTCCTGGAGTCTGAAGTTCTTGTTGTTCAGTGTGCTCTGACAAACTGATTTGTTTAAATTCAGTGCTTTGTGCCATTCCTATGAATTTTAATTATAGTACCATTTTTTAGAAATGTGCAGTAGAATTCATGTGTGCCTAATTCTGAAAATGGCTTTGTACATTAAGGCTCATTTAACCACAGATGGTTAGAGAGAAGTTGAGAGGCAGTTATTGGTCATAATTTTAAAACACAGTAATAGCATGGAACTTCCTTGTACTGCATGCATTTAAGATGCTGTGTTGTCAACCTCTCGGTCATTAGGCATGTTGCAATTTGGCTTATGTCTTACTGGTCAGGATGTCACAGTGAAGAAATGTTTAGTCACGGAAGAAAATCAGTGTCCAGCACGCAAAGATAGTAATAGGGTAAGCACTCCCAACTGGATTTTCATAGGAGAGATTGATTTGTGTGTATTACTGGGTCTGTATAAAATGGTGTCCTTTTGGCACTAGATGAATATAAATTTCAGGAAATGTTTTTTCTTCTGCAGATTAGTGTAATACTGTGAAATTTGCTGTAACTGAGGGGAGGCAGTGGTTGGGCGTCTGCTAATAGCCTGAAAGTAACTAATGAGGATGTGCAGTCGGAACAATTGATTGAATAGCTGCAGTCCTGTGTGTTGCTTTCTCGCTTGCTCTCTCTGCAAGCTGTAGAGAGGGAGGGGGAAGAGCAAGGCACAGGGAGGGAGCGAGAAAAAACGCTTTCTCTTAAGTGGAAGTAGCACGGATCCCAGGGGCCAGGAGGCCAGAAATGGAAGTTTAAACTGCATCTATCTTTTAAAGGGAGAACAGCAGGAATCAAAATGTCAGTCTCCGGAGTCACGATTTACTCCTTATTTTTTAAGATCTGGAAGATAACACAGAATACTCTTTTTAGGATGTGTTTTTTTTTTCCCTTGTCCATGTTGAGATTATCTAATGTTATCTGAGAAGCTGGATTCCTATGTCTGTCAGTTGAAGTGGAGATGGGAAGCAGTTGTGATAAAGGTATAATATGTATATATCTATCATCTGTGTGTGCGTGTTTATGTGCATATATATGCATATATATGTATATCACTAAAAATTTTTAATGTAACCTTAATATAACCTTAATATAGTGTATAGTAATTAAATTGGAGAATACCACATCATCTGCAAAATCTGAAGCTTGTTAGGTCAGTTTGAACAGATTTAGGATTCCAGAGTAAGATCTTAGTGAGGTCATATTGCCAGAACAAGGAGAAGCTGATCTATTTTTATATCAGCATAGGCATATATGTTATTTTATCCTAGCAGCAGCTTTTAGTCTTCTCATGGACCTTTGGCTGCAGGCTAGTGAATCATCTTATCTGCACAGAACTGAACTTTGACCTTTGTGCAGACACCATCAAATCATGTTCACTAGGCAAAATTTGTTCACAAGAATATGAAAAAATTTCACTGGATTATATTAACTCCTATATTGCTGACATAGAGAAGTAGATTCATATACTGAGATGCAAATATTAAGTGAACTTAGAGATATTAAACATAGCTCAGAGGAAATTACTTTTTATATGTGCATAAAGATATAAGCTGTCACAGTAAAGCAGATTCTTAACAGTGACCAAGTCTCCCTAGTGTCTCAATAATATCTCTTTAGAGATAAAGAAACAAATTATGTAGAGATAGAATGTAATGTATCTTTAAAGCAGACTGATTTTTTGTGAGAAAAAAAATCAATAATTTTACAGGTTAGCGAAAGATCCTAAATTTGGGTTTTTTATGATGTTCTTTTTTTCTTTTCCAGAGGTGCCAGCAGAAAGGTCCCCCCGCAGACGGAGTATCTCAGGGACCAGTACATCAGAGAAACCCAACTCTATGGATACTGCAAATACCTCACCCTTCAAAGTACCAGTAAGTGTTTCTCTTCTCTAAAAGATTACTTTACTTTTCTCCTTTCGTTTTAGAGTTAGAGACAGTTGCTAAGAAATCAAAACATTTTGTTCTTCAAGAATTTCTTTATCAAGTTACTAACTAAAACCTATCACAATTTTATGAAGATGCTGGTAGGAATTTTTTTTTTTAAAGGATGGCGTATAGTGTTTTTAGTGATGGAGCCTAAGCAGAGAATGATGAGACTCATAAAGTTGCAGAGCAGAAAATCAGAAAATTAGATTAGAAAATTAGACAGTTGTGAGTTCTAATCCTGAAACCTGGCCTATGCTTTGCTTAAGCCATCTTTTAGATGACTATATAAGTGCTTAAGAAATACCCTGGAAGAAATATTCCAGTTAAAAATACTCCTTAAACTGACTAGGCAGTACTGAGAATCAATATTAAATATGAAGGAACGCTGAGATGGAAAGTCTGTAAGTGATCAGGTCAGGTGACTACCAGTTGCAATTTGGACCTCTTTGATATAACTTGGAGTAGCCTAGATTTTAATTCATCCATTTTCTTTGTTTATTGAATAAGAAATATACTTACTTTCTATTCATATCATTTTATTAAAATTAATTACTTTTAAACTTGAAAAGAATTACATCCGTGAAGTTGGTCATTATTATAGGTACACTGGAAATCAGTATAAAGTAGAAATAGCCTTTTCTATTGGGAAAAAAAGGATTTTTTTTCTTTTAATTCAGCCAAGTTAATACGCTGTGTTCTTTATTCCAATACAAGTTTTTAAAGTTAGGATGACTTTTTAAGTAGAACTGGTATTTTGAGATATAAAGCTGGCATTCACTTGTAAATTAACCAAAGTGAATGTTTTATTTTACATTAATCCTGAGAAGCAAGATTTCCCCTTGTTATATCTAGGTGCCTTGTAGAGTTTGTGAATATCTATTATTGTGACACCTTTCAAATTTTTACAAATCTTCTCATTTTTAAAGACCACAAGCAAGTGTTGGATTAATAGTCTAACCAAATCGTGACAGGAGTTTTAAAATACTGGATTTCATGCCTTTTACCAAATTTCTTTATTCTAATAGACATAACTATCTATTTAAAATTTGTTTTCATGAATGAAAAAAGCATCTTTTCTCTCCCTTCCCCTTCTTATTTTCCTGATGAAACCAATCAAATATAGTGAAACTAACTATCTATATAAAGAGTTTGGTGAAAAGGTTTGAGTTAGAATTTGAATTTTTACTACTGTCATGCTAGAATAGAATGGTGAATACTTAATTTTTTTTTTTTTCAACATCAGTAGCTGAAGAAGAATATTCCTCTGCAATGTGGTAACTTTGAAATACTTCCTATATTGAATCTGAAGTTCATGACTGGCCTTTTAAAATTTGAATTAATTAGAAATAACAATTTTCATTTATATTTAAACAATAAATTGACAGCTAATTTAAGGTTTACCTTAATAATAAGGCTAATTATTTTTGAGTAAAAGTAATAAACCAATGGTGCATATACATGAAGACTAGCACTACTCACAGACCACTTACTCAGGGATCGAACCCAGGTCCCGGCAGTGAGAACGCTGAGTCCTAAGCACTGGACCGCCAGGGAATTCCCTCATTTGTTATTCTTTTTACAATCTCAGCCACGTCATGGATTTAGAAATACTGAGGGAAAGAAGGGTCCCCTGACTAGCAAATTGCAGTCACAAAGCCCATGCACTTAGCTCTCTAGTAGAATTTAGCCATTCATAAGCCTTCATCTAGACAATTGTTTGGAAAAATAACCATGCAAACACACTGACTGCAATTTTTTTTTAATGGCAAAAAAAAAAAATGTCAGTGAGTAGAGGGAGGAGGCAGAGAAAATGAAAAACAAGGAGTCATAAAAACAATCTGAATTCATTTAGGATAAAGGCAGATAGCCTTATACTTATTGATAGTCCTTAAGGGTACCATCGTATTACAGGATGGATGGTGTATAGTGTAGTAATTGACATTGATAATAATAGTCCTGAATCATCAAGGAAAAGTGAGATTATATTGTTTGTACCAGACTGTTTTTTAAAACTGGAAACTGTGTAATATTGTGTGATATATATCCATTGAGAATATTTAAAATCTTAAAGATATGTGAAGCTTTATAAAAATTGCTATTCCGAAAAATTTAGTTTGTGAAGTTCCTCACTCCTTGATAATGCTAGATAAATAATTTATATTCTTTTAAGAGAAACCAAAATATGCTGGCTAAATGAGGCACTGCAGTACTTGGATGTCTGTGGAAGTACATTGTATTTTTTAAATCTCCATATGATACCAATAGCTAATGTGACTTACATCACTTAAATGTATTGCCAGAAGAAGTATGTCTAGTTTCAGATCAACACAAAATATTTTTGTAATAAATATCACAAAAGACTTTCTGAATATGGGAAAGCAGTACAAAAAGGAACCTGAGATACTTAACTTTTAGTTACTTATATAGTACCTCAAAGACCATTTTCATGTTAACTTTATGAAGGGGCAGGGGTGAGATTTAAGCACAAGTACTTGTAGTTCAAAGACTCAGGTGTCTTTGCTGTGGTGAACAGCAGGTTCACTACCCATCAGGAGGACCCAAAAAGGAGCTAGTTGTGGACTCTCCAAAAGGGCCTTATTCTTCCTAGATCTATTTTCAGGCTTCCTGAGGGCAGATGAAATAGATTTTTAACAAGTCTTGATGGAAATTCTTGACAGTGACACACTTAATGAATGCTTACTTTGGGCAAAGTATTGGTGATTCACCAATTGATATTGATGAGACTATTGATGCTTTCTTGGCACTCTACTTGGTACTGGGGAAACAGAAATGAACACAACAGAATTTCCATACAAGAGAACTTATAGTCTAGTAGCAAGAGACAGAAAAATGACCAGATTCGTAAGGAGGTAGATGAGCATGGTGACACTGGTTTTTAACAATGCACTGTGTAAGCTAAGGCTTTGTCAAGGAGCCAGTATTTCAGCTGCGTTTCAAAGGCTGAATGAAAATAGTTGAGAGGGGAAGGAGAGTATTCCATCTTGAGGGAATAGCATTTTGGAAAGACACACTTCATAAGGTGACTCACGCTTCAAGGGAATATGGGAAAGCATTTCCTGCTTTTCGAGGCAGGAATTGAAAAGCATGTAGGCAAAAATGGCTAGAGAGAGGATGGAGAGGTAGGTTGGGGCAAGACTGTGAGTGGGTTTGTTTGTCAAGCTTAACTAAATTTTGCTGGCCACTAAAGCATTAAAGATTGGTTTAATTGAAATATTTGTCTTGGCTTAAAAGCTAAACCAAGTTATATAAATACTGGGACATACTGGTAAATTACTTGACTCTAATCTAAGTGACTCTTCTTGCTATTACTATCTGAACTCAGGGTGATAGGTAAGGGGCTATCATTCAATAGAAGGCCAGTCCAGCACCCACCCCTGGCTATCAGCTGACACTGCTTGTAGTTCTAGAGTAGTGGTTAGCCTTTGAGAGATCCCCAGAAGCCAATGGATAAGAGTTGTTTGTATCCTGCTGACTGCTGCTAGATAAGGCAGAAAGGATATATATCTTTGTATATCTTCCTTATTCCCCCAAACTTATATTTTCTAAACTTAAAATGGATAACTAGTAAGTAGTATATTCATGTATATTCCTTACTTAGTCTAATCCATCTTTATGCAGATAGACAGCAGAGTCAATAAGTTTAAAAATAAGAATGTAAGAAATGAAACAAGGAAGTCATGGCCACTGAACCTATAGGTTAAGTTAAGGTCTCAGCTTTTGGGAATGTTTAAATGTATTTGTACTTACAGCTAATCATAGGCATAAGAAAAGCAGAGATCTGTAGGGTAGTTATTCAGTTCTTCCTCCACTCTGATTCCATATCTCTTCACCTTAATTCCAATTGCAGTTATTTGTTTGTAGGTCTGTGTGCCTCATTAGACAATAAATATCTCTTCTACTTAACTTTTTTTTTAAATTGGAGTATAGTTGCTTTACAATGTTGTGGTAGTTTCTACTGTACAGCAAAATGAATCAGCTATACGTATACATATATCCCCTCTTTTTTGGGTTTCCTTCCCATTTAGGTCACCGCAGAGCATTGAGTAGAGTCATCTTTGTAGCTACCCCAATGTCTAACGACAGAGCCTTGCATATAGGAAACACTCAACAAGTAGTTGTTGAGTGGATAAAATATAAATGAGTTATCTAAGAACCTGAATCAAGTGACTATGTTTCACACTTACTCTCTTGGTATTACAGATGATGTCTCTAGTCAAGTGGATTACTAAACCATTTAATAACTACTAAGAGATCATTTGGAGTAAAGGAGGGCACCTGCGCAAAATAGTTACCTTTTTTTTTTCTCTTCAACAAAGAGAGATCTTAATTTATATTTGGAATCCAGGGCTATGGTATTTTATGTATGTAGTATATACTCTTTCTACTTAGGTTGGGAAGTGAAACTAGGTAGGATTCTTTATTTAATGATTTATCTCTGTGGATATTTCTTTGAACAATTTAGGTGCCAGATATACATATAAGCTGGCAATGTTTTTGCAGATTTGAGTTTTGACTATTACATTCTTCAAGAACAATTTTAGTCATTTGAATAGTTTTTTACCTCTTTTTAAAGATACTATTTTTCATTTTTTTCTTTAACATCCTGCTAGACTTTTTGCCTTTGTCATATTTGTGTTTTAAACACAAATAAAATATCCATTGTATGTTTTATATATTGTTAAAACTATATATAAAACTATATTTTAAAATAAAATATCCATTGTATGTTTTATATATTGTTAAAACTACATTTAAATGATGTTACAAGAGTAACTGGAAAGGAATGAGTAAACTAATGAAAAGTTATCCAGGTACTTAAATTTAATTCAGAAAGGGAATATGCTAACATCTTGTAATTGTATATATTTGTTTCACATTGCCTGAGTTTTTGCGACAGGCTTCTTTCTTTAATATTCTATTTATAA